GCATACTTTTCAAACATTTAATACTTCAGAATATAAGAACCCTACATTAAGTGGTTGCTAGTGCAACTCCTTCCTTAAGAGTTCACATGCAAACTACATCAGTATTACTGATGACAAGAGATTTAAAAGTACAATGGTGGGGTTGTCTAATAGAATGATATTCACACCAAGTTCATGAAAACACATTACATGGTTATAAAAAAATTGCTGGAGCAGGGGGCAGACATGATCATACCACAAGCCAATCTCTTGTACTATCTAACTAGCTAGATGGCTTAGGGAACTCAAAGGTTCATCATTGAAATAACTAAAGCCCACCAATGGTCCCTGTCCTAGGCCAGCAAAATCCAATCACCTTCAACTCCTATCTCCCATAGACCCCACTTGATAAAATCCTCCCATCTACATATAGTCTGGTAGACTACACAATGCAATAACCCAGTATTCTTATTTTACATCTGACTTAAACTGAAGCCAAAAAGGGTGGTATATTATTAACACTTCTACTGAAGACAATAATTATTTCCACTTAAGGAACTGATACATCCAAGTTTAACTAACAACTCACAATATACAATCTTTTCCCCCCATATATTTCTGACATATGCAAATAGGACAACGAATTTCAGTTAGGTGTGATTTGTTTGTCTTCAGTTAAGATCAGCTCTAGTGCCATTACCTATGTTAATGGTTTTGTTAAATTTCACTGGCTCAAATAAAACAAGATTTATGGCGAAATTTTTCGGTAGGTGACGTACATGGGGATACTTATATATTCAAATAAATGGTCTTCATAATATAAACTTACTTCACGCAACCTTAGATTTTGTGACAAGGTTATCCTTTACAACACTACTGTAACATGCAAGGTATTAAAGCGTCTAAAGTCACGTATAATCGTTCGTGCTACGCATTATGTCTGACTTAAGCCCTTTTTGTTGAGCACCAAGGACATCATCTCCAATTCACCGCTTTCGCTAAATATGCATTCGTCTAAAGATGTAATCGTATACCATCTGGTTACGAAAGTCATTCCGCGAAGTGTCATGTACAACCTTATACAATAATTACAAACTTGCTTACCTTTCACTGCATCCAAGTTGCAACGTCTTGTTAGAATTCCAGCACGAAGGACCACACGCACACATATACACACAATAATCTTTTCGGTTAACATCACTAAATGCAATATCTACCCTTATATACTGAATCGTTTCGCACTAAACATACAGTGTATCTTTGTTTTAACTCACAAGACTGTGTTATGTTCAGCACCATTAAAATTCTGAACTGCACTTCAGATTCGCGCCACATTCTCCTCCCCACAGATAACTAAACAACAAATCCTCTTCTACGATCTTTCGGCACACACGTAAATTGTCGAGCCATCTATCAACAGTGGTTACTAAACTACTACAAAGTAATCTGACGGTAGTAGTTCGTAATCGGTAATAATATTAGTTACTATCCAATTTCCAAATCCACCAGGGCTGTGAACTCGGTATTAAAAGATCCGACTACTTCATAAAAGCTCAATATGTATCAATAATGGTAAACCTACTAAAATGGTTAATGGCACCATAAGAGATTTCATCACAACCGTGTGAATAATCAGGCCACTTTTTAGATTTATAACCTATATTTAAGTATAAGTCTAATGGTTATTGCAGAAATCGGTTGATTTGTAGACAGTTTGTATTCTTAAGGTACCGGAGCCAAAGTTACAAAGCATTATTCCCACACCATGTGGCTCAACACATCGTTGAAGAGTTGGCATGGCTCAGTCAGTGTAGTGACTGGGATTCGATCTGCGACTGAGGCAGAGGATTTTTCCTCTACACTCTGTGTTCAGATCAGCTCTGGGGCTCACCCAATCTCCTATGCAAAGGGGTCCTTTCCCAGGGGTATGGCATGGCCAGGGCGTGATGCTAACCACACATCCCTATCTAGTGCTCCCCTCAAGTGCTTACATGGTGTATAGTGGATTAGCTTTACTTTTACTTTAGCTATATATGTTTGATATAGAGGTCTATTAATTCAGTCATAATATAGACTACTGTATGTACTATGTGATGGGTTATCGTTCTGGACACAATGGGAATGTATGGCTGATGAAGTATAAAACTTGGGATGGAAATTTCTGCTCTGCCAGTGTAGTCTGTAATCAAATACAAGGGAAAAGCTGTCTGTACAATATCTTCAGGATACCAAAATAGGAAATGACATACTCAGACTTAAAATTAAGGGATATCTAAAACAGAACAGCATATTTAATAAAATACTGATTAAATGGATTATGCCATTAAAATAAATTATTGCCCTTCTATTTTACAAATACAGAAATCTGAAAATTATATAATGGTGATGGTTAAAGTTACAATATGATCAGAATTTCAATTAACTCATTTTAATTTAATTTTATCATAAGATTTACATATTTTAATTTGAACTTCCATTTTTTAACATATATTAATCAACAGAAAGCACTGACTCTGTAAACATCATATTGTATTAAATGATCTGACACAGAAGTAATTTTTCTCTCTGGCAAAAATAACTCCAACATTTTTCTATAAGAAGAGATAGGAGAGGGATACTGATATTTTGAGGGGATCCAGGATATTTCATCATCTCCACTATTAAAACATCAGATCCTTAGACAAAAAATAAAGCCATAATTCACTTTCCTCAGCTGATGTAATACTTCTGTGTGTTTTCAAGCACATTCACAATAAGCTCACAATAAATTAACATCATATCAAAGTATATTTAAACAGTATTGCTACTAAATTTGTACACATATCACAATGAGAATGGTTTTACCTTCATATGAAAAGAACATTAATATAAAATAAGATGTGTAGTGCATAGATTTGTATCCAAAACTCATTTACATTGAACCTATATAAACAACTGGATTAACAATACTGAATTGGTACATTCGGTCAAAAATTTTCAATATAATTGTCTAAGAAAGCAGGGAAGAAGACTATGTTCTAACAGATCTAACACTGCTCTTTTGAAAAGTTCCTGATTTATGATCTAAATCTTTTATGGTGACTACCAATAATAATATATTCTCAGGACATAAGCCAGTCAAATGGATAAAATAACCAGTGTTTCAGGAACCATATATGTCCCCACCATCAGGGCTATGATGTAACTGTGTCCAGACCATTTCACATGTATAGCTACCGAGATCCCATGTGTGAATTTGAATGTAAGCAATTGGGGGCTAGTGGGTGGAATCAAGTGTTCTTGCACACACTTGGTGAATTTTGACATGGCTTTACTATTTAATAAAGTTCCTTAGGAAGAAATATTGCTGTTGCTGTCACAACAGGCCATAACTCTCAACAAGCAGGTCCTTCCACCACACATTTCTTTAGAATGGCTCTTTCTTAGATAAAGAGACAGCAGCATTTCAATAAGTAGAAGACTGGATGATTCACTGGGACACACTGTATATTGGAAATAACACATATGGACCTGTAATTACACACCAAGTCTGACTAATAGCCACCACAGAAGCAATTTATGTTAAAGATGCTCATTCAACAGGCAAGGACTATATGCAATGTGGAAAGACTAGACAAGGAAATCAGCCACCTGAAAAGGACTCTTAGACAAAATACACACAGTAACCTTGATGTTAAGTGAGCCTTTGTTCCAGAAGAGAGGCCAAAGATATAACTGGAGAAGCTGGCAGGCATAGTGATAATACCATTTCAAACAGTCTTGAACAAAATCAGAAGGCTCCTTGCTAAACACAACATCAAGCCATTCACATCCTGGTAATGAAAAATACTCCCATTCTCTGACTAGTTGGGCCTAAAAGTCGCAGGTATATACTAGTCCCCTGCAAAGTTTATGTTGGACAGAATGGTAGATTCATCAAAACCAGATGTAAAGAATGCATTTGATACATATGCCTGGGCCAACCGGAGATGTCTGACAGACCATATATTTAAAGCAAGGCATGACAACATCAGTACCACCTCTATCTTGGATAAAGCCACAGATTAAATGGATTGTGTGATAAAACTGATGAGATCAGACTTGACCCCAAAAACTTTAACAGAGATGGTGGCTCCTTTCAGCCAATCTTGGAACCTGGTGACCAATATGCTCAGGCAATACAGAAATATGCCAATGTGAAATTAAGGCCAGGATAAGCAAGCACTAGACTCTGCCCACTAGCCTCACACTGGCTCATGCTCAAATTTGAGAAAAGGTTCTTGAAAGTACATATGTAAAGTGGTCTGGACATACAGCTACATTACAGCACTGATAATGAAGACAGAAATGTTTGTTGAAATATCAGTGACTTTTAACCAACTGACACAGCTTATAGCCTAAGAATATTTGATTACAGTTGCCTCATATACAAGAGGCTTGGTGTAGTTTTAACATTCAAAAGAGCATTCTCTTACATAAATCACATTTGTACCATCATAACACTGAATCTGAATTTCCTCTTACATATTTGCACTTGTTCCCCTAACAGAGTTACCATTCATTTGCTTTAAACATAAACTATAATTTAACAGGTTTCAATTAAGGAAGCATTAATGTTTGAGAATACCTTGCCATCACTTGCAATGCCAATTTTATTTTAATAATGCATGTCCAGAACAGCAACATGTTAAATTATATGGACAACAAAATTTTGAAATTAAACATTAGAATCATTGCTTCAGCATTATCTAGCTGACCATATTTGAAAGATTCTCTATCCATCAGAGTGCATTTGATAGTCTTTAATATTTGCTCTTCTTTTTTCTGTTAAAATGCACTGGAAGTGCTCCTGTAGCCTTTCTTATGAAATACAGTGAAAAACATGGAATTTACTAGTTTAGCCACACTTTTAAACTTACTAGATTTCCCCCTCTGTCAGTTCTGTACTCTTCACTGTCAGATTTCTCTGCTCATGGGATGGGAAAATGCAGGGGTTAAAAAGATGGAAACAATGGTTTATGGGATATCAGATCAGTTGGACATATTCTTTTCAAAAGTGTTTGTCATCTGTGGCGAGGGGAAAAAAAATTCATTAATGTATACAGTTAATTTAATATAACACAATTTTGAAGACTGAAAATGTGTTAAAAGTAAGTACCCCAGTGAATAAGTACCTTGCCATAAGATTTACAGAGGGCCTGGCCATAAAGTTGTGTGTTTTCTAGACTCAGGGTAGATGTAGATGAGTAGTTAGGTTCATGCTTCAGCTGTATTATCTCATGAGAGAGAACCAGTAGATTCATTAGATGGGAAGGCCCCAGAGCAAATATGGCTTTTGTGGTGTTGGAGGTAAACCTTTTCTTTCCATTATGTCTTGGAAGTTCTTAATAGCTAATAGTTTTTCAGGGAAAATTCTGTACCAGATAAAGAGTAAGTGAGCGGAATTAAAACAATTGTTACTATAAAGGCTTAGTAATTATGAGGCAATATGCACTTTTATGGTAGTTTTTGTGACTTTCTTGATAAATACTGCTTTTTCTTGAGGAAGTCATATTGTGTGTCATAAATGAATGAAGAATCAATAGATTATTTAGCTGATAGAGTTTCTTATGTAAACATATTTAAACTAAAATTTGTTGCATGAATATTCACAGCCACAAATGACACAGCTCCCAGCCAACTGGTCAAAAGAACAAATGTGCAATGATCCATGAAAATTAATTACTTCTTACCATGGCAGCAGCCTGTTTGTGTTCACCCATAAATCACACCCTCTGTTCTCCGAATGTGAATGCATGTGATTTATCTACAGGAAATCACTGTAAGTGATATTTCAAGTGCCAGAAATTTTATTCTGTCAATATGAAATGTACTTGGATGCATGGATTGAACTTCCAATTTGATCATGTGGTAGCATTTTGTCATGTTATCCAAGAGGAGTCACTCAGTAGCCAGTGTCTTGCTTTATGAACAGGCAGCAATAATGCTGTTAATAAGGGAATGCCTCTCTGTGTTTTTAACAAAAAACTGCCTACCTTCCATTCATCCTTCAAAAAACCAGTTTTGTCTTTGTTGTCTAAGGTTTTTAGATTATGTTGGTGAGTTTTAGTTCAAAATACCTTGAATTTCATGTATTTGTTCATTACAAATTATAGTCAAATGCATATATTTATAAGAAATATATCTTCCTTTACTTATTTAAGTGAAATAAAGATCTTTGCTTTCTTGAAATATAATTTGATCATCTGCAAACAGCAGTGTATTCAGGGCAACCGTTTCCTTTAACCGTATCCCTGGGTTACTTCTCGCCCTCCATTCTCAGATGACATCGTCTAAGTAGATGTTGAATAAGGTTGGAGACAGACTACATCCCTAGCGCACTCCCTGGGTGATTTTAATATCTTCCTTCCATATCTAAAATGATTGTAGTGTTTTGGTGTAGAGAACTAATGGCACTTATTAAATGTTGTGGGTAGTCTTTTCTCTCCATAAGTTGCCAGTGTTGCAAGATTTACTCTGGCAAAAGCCTTTTCATAGTAAATAAAAACAATATTTGTCTCAAGATTAAATTCCCTACATTTTTCTATGATTTGTTGAATGGTACAAATATAATCTGTACAAGATCATTCCCTTCGAAAACCATTCTCTTCTTCCGATATTAGGAATCTGAAATATTCACAAGCCTCTTGTTTAATATTTTTGCATAGATTTTATAAGTAGTGGCTAGTGAACCAATGCCCTGGTAGTTCTCACAGCTGTTCATTTTCTCCTTTTTAAGCAAAGATATTATCTTTGCTTTCTGTCATGCATTGGGTGTAATGCAGTATTTCCAACATAAATGTGGCAAATAAAGAAGTTTCAGTCTCCACCCTTCCTTCTTAGGAGCATAAATAGCAATCACTGTCTTATGTTCTCCTTTGTATAAAGTTGTACATGAAAATGGTTGTTCAATGGGCTTTAGTTATTAATATCAGGGACTGGGGTTACTTATAATGGGAGGGGGAGAATGTGGTACAGAAAGTAAGTTCTGTTTCTAACAGTTTTTCCGTATACATATAATCCAATTTCTACATATATTCCAATGTTAATAGTGATGTTAACCATTTATATTTGAAACACTTCCAGTGCCTTTGGTTTAAATTTAAAACTGAGAATTATTTGTCTGTGTTACAAGAATCATATACAAGAGTCATGTCATATGTCTATAATTTTTTTACAGAAATGAATTTCACAGCTTATCACACTTATCTGCACTTTGGGATTGTGAGACGTTAGGAAACTATTTAATAATGTTCATAAATTTTCATAAAACATAACAAGAGACACAGTACTATATAGAATGAGCATGTTGTTAAAATGTAGGGCTTTGTGTCCACAGATATCATGATTTAATTGTTTTCTGCCTTCCTCTAGACTGAATTTTATGAACCAGACCTTCTTATCTCTTAACTGTAAATGTATCCACCACATAGAATGGCTAGTTTTTTAACAGACAAAATTTTCAGCATCCCTTAATTTTGGCACCACTTCATTAAATGTTATTCACCTATCAGCTGCTTACCAGTTCTGTAACTGAAATTGTCATGATATTGGCAGTGGTTCCAACTCTAAACAGATGAGGTCGCTTGATGACTGTTGAGTGTCAGGCTACTTGCTCTGAGACTTAGGCTTGCAAGGCTGAAAGTGGAGCGATGCTGGTTCATGTTGTGGGGGTCATCACAGTAGAGGTACAGCCGAGAGCTTACTGAACGGTGACAATCTGGACAAAGGCGTTTCTTCTTTTTGTCTCGGCGTTTCAGAATATCATGAGCGCATCTGGATCATGTGAAACCAAAGAAATATTGGAGCCTGAATATAGACACATAGCCATTATATCATTCAGTTACTAGCAGCTGGTGTGGTGGTAAATCATTAGACTTATATGTAGGAGTTACCAAGTTTCAATCTCAGCTTGGTTGCATGCCATTATGAGATTTTTTTATGATGTTAACTTGATCTCTGCATATGAAATTTGGGACATGCAGACACCCCCATACCCCAGATAATGCTGATGTTACTAACACCACTCAAAAATGTCAAATGCCATATTTTGACAGAATAACCAACCTCTCATCCCTACTTGCACTACTTATAGCAGAGATCTGATGAATTGGAAATCTGGGGGCAATAACAAAGAAAATACACTAGAATTGTCATTGTATGCACACATCTCCTAACTTGTTTTAAAATAATTGAACTTAAAAGGCAGGTGCACAAAACAATTACTTTAATTTGTATTCTTTATTGCAATAAATTTTTCCCAAACATTTTGCTAAAATATCTCTTAGGGAGGCAACTATATTTTACTGGACTAATTTCCATAATGGATATACAAGCATAACAACCCTTAAGGTAACAAAGAACTGATAAGTGCATCAAATGATAATGTGCCCTGCAGAAATCTTAGGCTATCATGTATGTACTATATGGATGTTGCAGCAGCAGGAACAATAAAAACGTTATGAATTGGGTTCAGATGGGTGATAGAACAGCAATAATAGATTCCGGATGCTATTTACAAAGATTATATCCCTATTTGGATTTCATTAAATTAAATTAAAAATTAAATCAGTGGCGTAACAGCTCCAGAGAGCCAAAGCCGACTAGCTTGACTGCTGGCCTCACGTTCACATGCCTAAGCAGAGGTGAACGATCATCCAACCAGATATAGGGTGACGTGTGGTCAGCACAACGAACCCCCAGCCATTGCTAGCTTTCCTGACCGGATTACGCTACTTATTGTAGCTCCCCAATTTCCTCACGATGCTGGGTTGGCACCGGTCCCATACACTGGTCGAAATCTCATGAGAAAATTTCTTCTCCCTCAAGACTCGAACCAGCGCGCATTCCGTATCGCAGGTCCGAAGCATGATGCCTCAGATCATGCGGCTATGGCGCGGGACTATTTGGATTTCATACTTAATTGAAATAACTTATAATTACTTAACTTCCATATTGCTAAATATGCAACACATAAAATTAAAATATTGGATACAATTTTAATTAAAAATTATATAGCACAAGTATATCCGAAACACTGTATACAATGTACCTGGCATGAAGTATGTGTGAACATGGTAGTGCCTCTAAACTGTCAGAATCCAGTCCAAATGGCAAGTTGCAGGCACCACATTGTAGTTCCAACTCCTCCTCTAGACACTGTGCCAATCGTTCATGCACTGCCTGTTGCTCCTCATCACCAAGACTCTGGTAGATACGGCTCAGACGGACTCGCACTGTTCTCACTAGCAGCTGATCACACCAAATCACTTCATGTAACTCAAAATGTGTGCTTCATTATCTTGGGAAGAAATCAAAATCATATGCTTCTTAAAATTAAGAGGAGATTAGATTCAGAAAATTCATGCTATCACTCAGTCCTGAATCTTATATCTGTCTATATTCCATCTACTATAAATCTACAGATTAAAATATGAAAGAACTATAGAGTTTGCCTCTTGTTTTCATATGGGTTCAAGTTGGCCTGTCAATCGAAATGAATAACATGGAAAAATGGTGTTTGAGAAGCAAGTAATAAGGAGAAAATTTGGACTTAAGAAAGAGGAAGTAACAGAAACATGAACAACAACTATATGATGCAAGGCACAATAATTGATATTCTTTATCTAGTATTGCTATGGCAATTTTATCATAGAAGGGGAGATGGGAAAGATATGTACACACTGTGCAACAAAAATTAAGTGCTTGAAATTTCGTAAGTCTCAAACCAAAAGTGTTGCAAGTGTACAGCTTGCTAATGTACAGACAGTATAGATGCAATAATGAGACAGCATAAAAACTGTGGTAGGAACTCTTCAGAGCAAGAGACCACTCTTGAAATGTAGGCATAGATTTCAAGTAGTATGGTTGATAAGGTGTGAATCTGTTTGGTTTCAACTTCCACACTAAGTGGATCACTAGTCACTGTAGTAAGACAAATCTTCATGTTATCAGTCACTGGCTTGATATAAAACTTAGTGAAAGAATGTCTGGGCATGATGGCAAAAGGAATACTTCTGTCCCAATCGTCCATTCCACAACCAGTCACTGAGTTAACTGGGCTGATGGCATTTTAGAGGAAGAGATAAGGCTTTTTTGTACTAAGGCAACTTCTTGGCATTTGTCTGTAGAAAATTAATGAAACCACAAAAGACATTAATACTGTGTCTCTTGAATACAAGTGAAATATTCTATGCCAGGTTATTTGTAGGAGGGGATTGTGGGATAACCTCTGCCCCTATAAATGGTTGAAACATTGTGGTCCTGGCTAAGCTTACTCAAAAATCTGTTTCGAGAATCTGTGTAATGAAACAACTTTTGTAAATCCATTTTTTAAAACAGCCCTCTTGGTTGAATCCTTCAAAATGTAATTCACACTGCTGGCTCTACCTTAGCACCTACAGAAGTAGCAACTTCTAGAAGTCTAGTGTTGAATTCCAGAGGGCGGCAGTTACATATCTTCTGTTGCAGTCTGAGTGCCTCCAGACACCTCGCAACCCCATCCATGGCCTCCATCTGACATAATCTATCACCCATTCCTGCGCTCTCATACTGCCGATAAGCTTTCTGGAACACAACATAAGAGAGTTTTCTGCAAATATTAACCTCCTTTTCTTTAGTTTGATGGCAATAACTAATTACCTATTCTGGCTAGGCCAGTAGACTTTGTATGGGGATAGATCATAAATATACCAAGAAATTCTAAATGGAACACTTTCCTGTATACAATAAAATCCTCTAGGGCTATCAGCTGCATCAAGTGGTTAAAACATGAAGAGACCAACGAGACCTCAAAACGCCGGTCTCTTCATGTTTTAACCACTTGACGCGGCTGATAGCCCGAGAGGATTTTATTATACACGGTCGCCCGTGAAGGCTCAAGATCATACATTTTTCTGTATGTTTACACTTTCAAACATGGTGAAAATGAAAGTCTCTGAGGTTCTATATGGCAAATGAACCAAATACAGAATCTGTAGTAATGAAAATTACAAAAGGAAAAATATCTCCAAATTAAATAATTATTAATGTATAGTTCTAGGTATCCAAAACATTTAGATTTATGCAACTGAATTAAGTTCTTTCCAGAAGTTGTATACATTTATTACTTCTCTAAGGTTACAACTGGACAAATATTTCCAATGGAGTACTTATTGAGAAGGTGACAGCTGCTTACCTAGTAATGTAATTCCCATAGAACCTGAAAGTTCATTACCATGCTTACAAGAACCTGCCACTGATCCCTAACCTGCACAACTTCAGTACAATCCATACCATCCCACCCTATTTCATCAACACCAATATTAATATTATCATATCTATACCTAGGAGAATAGACAGATGTTCAAAATAATTACTTCATAATGGATGTGGCACTGTTATGAACCTTTAGGAAATCCTAATGACATATTTCTTGACTCATTACAGTACTTACATTTATTTCAGATTTTTTCCTGTAAATATCACCCATGATTCGGATACTTCTGGCATATGTGGCCTGGTCCCCTGACACCAATGCTAATCGTGTCGCTTCCTTATCAACAAAAAGAAAATTAAGCAGATATAGGAAAGGTAAGTCATTATCAAAAGTAATAGGACTGACATTGCTTTTATGAATGTTATGTCAGTAGGAATATGAGTACTGAGTTTAGAGAGTAAAAATGGTATGAATTTATAAGTAGAACAAAAATACAATGTATTGCTCGATAAATACATCAACTAGCCACTTACACTAACTCATAGTCCAGCGATATGCTTCATACAAATATCTTCATATTCACTGCTGTGAAAACCTCAGAACCCACTAAATATTGTTATACTCACCATTGGTGTTGTTTAACTTGACTGTTGATTGGATGACCATATTTCTGGAGCCTGTTTCACCATCTCTTTCATTTGTTAAACAAAACAAAATCTTTTACTTTCTTTCAGAAACTGAGCCATATCAGAGGTAGAGCTCAATCAGTCTCTTTAAACTGCTGCATCTCTCTCCTGTGGTAGGAATTAATTTCACATGTGATGGACGATACTCACGCTACAATAGTCCTGTGCATCTCCCAGTTCTCCCTGTTTCCGTAGAGCTGATGCCATTTGCAGCAGAGCGGCTCGGTGGTGGCGAGAGTTCAGATCGCCCAGCTGCAAACTCCTTGACAAGTCATAGGCTTTTGCTGCATAGCGAGCGCTCTTGTCAGCGTCTTGTAGCCTTCCAAATAGCTCGGACAGCCCCACGTATACCTGCAAGATTAAGGACATAATGTCCCTAAAATTCACCACTTCTGTACAAGTTTTTTCCTCATTTACATTCTGAGGTAACAGACTTACATTTGAATAGTCTATGTTCTACAGTGAACCAAAAGAAAAGATTAGACCCAATAAAAATGCCATCTATGAGCATGTATAAGAAGAATTTGAAGTGTTCTATAGGTGACCCCATGGCAACTGCCTTCTGTAAGATTCAGTCTCATAAGATAACTACACCAAGTGGCTATGCTTCTGAAAGTGTGAGAAAAAGATCCAATGAACACATAGTAGAGCAAAGTAAACATTGGGGAGGGAGGAAAGTAGCACTGAAGACACTTGTTTTGTGAAGGTGTCTGAAAACTCCAAGTACTTTTGTAACGATAAAGGGACAAAAAGCTGAATCAGTGAACACTCTTGTATGCTAAAATTTCTGGCACCTGTGAATATATCTTCAAAAGAGAGAAGTTGGCGACTGAGAAATAGCATGTAACTTTCTACATTCTACTTGGCTCTGCTGTGCACCAAACAATGTGTAATCAATTCAGAAGAAGCAGGTTTCATGGTGAGACACCTGATTTTAGTTAGCATGAAAAGAACGGAACGAATCTGGTTATCACCTGAAGTTCCAGGGCTGGGTCCTGAATTCCTTGAGCAATCTTGTGGGCGTGTTGGAAGGCCTCCAGCGCTTTACAGAAGCCGGCCAACTCTAGGTAGACACTCCCGACGGTTAGATGCACGTGACCTGCAGTCCGGCACTGGTCACACTCGTTGTACAAGGAATGACGAGCGTATGCGAGCGCACGCTCTAGACCACCCAAGCGTTCATGTGCCCTCGCCAGGTTTAAATACGCCTCTGCGCGCAGGTTCGGGCTGTCGGCCTCTTCGGCAAGACCTAGCTGCCGATGCGCGAACTCAAGCGCTTCCCTGGACACACGGAATCGAAGGCGAAGGCGGATCAGAGATCTGTTATGTCTTCTCAAAAATGACGACTTGAGTGTTGTAACATACTACTTGATTTGCATTCAGAGCACAGGGTATTATCAGCCAATATATTTATGTTTTAAGCTACCACGTTTGTTGTGGGCTTGCCATTAATAAAAACGTGCAATAACTTGTACATTTGTAATTTACGTACTACAAAAAAAAACATGCCAAGAAAGAAAATATACATCAACAAACAGACGCCACAAGGAGAAAGGAATTATAAAAAAAACAACTAACAAGACTATGGTCAGTCGTCTAAATTCCCTATGTTTACGATGTATCTGTCTTTTGGTTATTCTTGAGCTGCCTAACTACGGGCAGTTTCCAAATTTTGGCCCAATAATTTGGAATTCTCGCAGCGAATTACCGCTTTGTTCTTCCGGAATGCAATGATCTTTCTTGGGAGTTTCGACTTTCGACTCATTTGGCAGATGGGGAACAGGTTTTGTTATAACAGAGCGATAACGGATAGTGGTTGGCACTGAAGTAGTTTAAGTTGCGGCTTTGTTATAGGGATGGCCGTTACTATAACATGTCTTGCAATAGACCACAACTGGGATTAAATATTGTAGGAGAGTGAAGTGTAGAACACCTCCCTGTATCTATCACAGAGACAGAAAATATGCGAGTTTTACCTACATGACATATTCGTTACGAAGGCACAGCTTTAATATTAAGATCATTAGCATTTTCTCGCAGAGACGGGCCTTTTTTAACCTGTTTCTAAATGACGTACTAATCTGCAGGAAGAGTTACGATTTTTCAATTCCAAAGACCGGAAAATGTTGGTAGTCCTAATTATAATTTTTTCAAAGAATACCTTGGCGTACCTTGGTTCCCCTATTACCTTGACAAATGGTGTCATTTGATTACGTAAATAGCAGCCTGCCTCTAGATATCGAGGGTAACTGAAAATAAGTTGAATAAGCCGTCGACGAGGGCGGGTCTTCCAGCATGATAGCTATGTGTTGCGAACTGGAGGCAAAGAATATGTATGATTCGGGCAGAATCTCTGGAATTGTCAATAGCAATGTCAGACAAGAGTCTTTTAATCAACGTTTTCTACTGGACAGAAACGCTTAGCACAAGCTTTTCATCCTTGTTCACGTTTCCTCATGAGGGTTATTATTAGTAAAATTATTGTTTGTTTTTGAGGTACTGAACCGAGAGGAAATACTACATATATGAATGTACGTGTGGAGTGGATTTGAGAAAGAAAAATGAACACATTAGTGTGAAAGAAGCACGGCAGGCGACAGTAACAGCGGGAGGAAGACGTTGAAGGCTGGAGTGTAGCAGACTGAGTGAGGCATGTCTTCTTGGCACCTCGCCATCGAAGTATGGCTGCTAACAACGCAGACAAATGGACGAAGGTCTTATTGTTTGAAAAGTTGGTATTATTTCCGAATGCGACATCGCCGTAACGAGGCCACGTCACTGAGCTCGGATGTCTTCAACTCAGGAAGATGCTGACAACCCACCTACCCACTCACTGTTTGCTTCCCATTCCGATTGTAGTCCGCGTGTTCAGGTCTTGATAAAGGAAGGGTTTTGCATTTAGACAACGGCGCCTCTCTGTTGAGGAAGATAAATGATGCGCTTGGAATAAATGAATATATTGATGAACGAGTGAAGGTTCTATTGAAGGCACGAACAAACAACTGAAATGGATGCAATGCCACGCTGGAAGACAAAAGGAAGCCGTGAGTGAGTTGACGGCGCTGAAGTTCTTTTCGGAATATCCCAGTGAGTGAATACGACGAGTAAGGCAGCAGATTAGTATTTGTATCAGTAATGGGCGGCAACAAAAATTGGACACACAACAGAAAACGAAACAAAACAAAGAAGTAAAAGACTTACAATTCTTTCTTTCTCATATACAAGATTTTAGTCAAATAGGTAGGCTACTAGCCTATACCAAGCATGGTGCAGCGTCTCAATTCTGACCTTTCGGATTGTTTTTAGTTTTGGCAGCTTTGGACCAATTCATCTTTAGCGTTGTTAAATTCGGTCTCTTCTCCTGAATTGTCTACAATCTGTGGCCATGGGTTAAATACTAGAGAATGGTGGCACGTACTAACGTCACTATTTAATCATTTTCTGCACAACTCACTGACTGCATCTGAAAGAATCAAAATATAAATCTGTGTACTTGCCTATACTTGCCCCAGTCCATGTACGCTTGGTACAGATAGCCCAGGAGTGCGAATTTGTCGTCTCGTTTCCGGATCCTCTTCAGCGCGCTTCGCCACTTCCGAACCGCTGCCTGTTGCTTATGTTGATTGTAGAGTCGCAGACCCTGTTCCACCTACGCAACTCAAGGAAAAACGGAACGTCAGAATAATCTTTGAGGTACATCAAACACATATTTCAGGAACTGGCTCTACTACCGCCTTGAGGCAATGGGTTATTATCCTGGCGGGTGTTGTTTATTTGTGATGAGGTTGAAGTAGACGCCAGTGATGTAAACCAGTGGTATTCAACCTGGGGTATGCGAAGACATCTTAGGGGACACGTGAAATTTAAAAAGAAAATTATGATAAAAACTGTATAATCAGTAATGTAATTTATTTAATTTATTTTAGATGTAGATTATATACTATGTATAAGTTGAATTATACACCAACAACTTTGGGGGTACAAAGTTGAAGAGAAATTATATCTGGGGGTACGCGAACAAAAAAGGTTGAATACCACTGATGTAAACCATCTCTCTAAGAGACTCGTCAGAGTTTAACACCCCTCTCTCCTATCTATACCTGCTGACGAAAAGAGATCCAATTTAAGTTGTGTGTTTTTTAACAAATAAACAAGACGATATACAATGTCGTAAATAACAGATGAGCTTACTCTTGTCAGAATCCTTAAAGATGTTTTGTTACGAGATTAATATTCTGTCGTCCTTATTATTACTAATCCAACTCGGAATTCGACAAACAAATTGGTTTCATTAGTTGCTGCTTGTTATAATGATACACTCACCCTCCTCCTCGCCAGCTGTTGATCTACTTTGTGCCTGCACCCGATGAGACACTCCCAGAGCCCTCTGGAGCTGCTTCGCCGACCTGGACTGTCAGGCAAATCGTCTTCGGCGAAATCATACACATCCAAAGGGTGCCGGGATCCATCAGGAGAGGGCAGCAACGCCGTCGCCGACAGCTGATGGCTAGCTGTGCCACTGTCACGAAAATGGAGAATTAGTTCTAACAGTGCCATTGCAATGAAAGTACGAATCAGAGTCTAGCTGCGCCAGTTACAAAAACACGAGTCGAGTTTGCATGTGCAACTGTTACAAATTAATACTGCTCAATAATTTGTAATTGTCACCTAGGATAATTAAATAAAAATTTAGATGTCTTGAATGTGGAGAATAAATGACGGAAGAAGATAGTAAAGAAAGAGACTCGATTTGATAATGGCATCTCACTAATGAGTGAATACCAAATTCTGCAAATATTCCACGACAAATTGTACCTGCGCATTATACAACAGAAACATGACGATGGCAGGGGATTTATGAGATCTTTAAATAAATGAAAATCAGTCTTTACCAGAAGCGGGGCATTCATATTAACCGTGTTATCTGTTAACACGGCTAACGTTTCGAAAAACGAAAAATAAAAATCATTTTCTTACTTTCGTGGTTCAGTGTTACTCAATAAACTAACACAGAAGAACTGATCAGGCCTTAGCCTCATCTAGTTGGTTGGCTCAACGTGAAAACTCAGTCTCACTTCCACTTCTGGCTACGACTCTACTTCATTACGATGCTTTTACAGAGGCCGTACAGAATCAAACCACCAACTGACTCAGTAGGTTAATGCACAGAATATGTTGTGGTAGTGCTGTATTTATATAACAACACCAGAAAGAGACTTCGGTAGGCTGTGTGGGACTACAAAGCCTAAAATACCGAAGGCACTGAACATTCAGTCTGTATACATGTAAAGCTAGGGCAATGATGAAAGAAATTAAACAACAGAGCAGAAAGACTAACATTAAAGCTCACAAATTATGTTCATCTCTTTAATGACGGTAATGTTAGAAACTACATAAGATGGATTGCTACGTGCCCCAGTGTTTTTGTCTGAATAATATGTTAACTTCTTTATCAAAGCCACTAGGAAGATGTAGGAGCGTGGAATTTTAGCGCCACTACAACCCAGAAGACAGCCATCTTCGGACTCACCGCCGTGAAAACTTCAAATCCAAGATAAGGAGATCATTCCATACCCATAATAAGTAACTCCATGAACTAAATTTCACTTCCTACAAATCAAACAATTTTCTCATTAATCTTCAAAGATCAGAGCCGTATCCTAAAACAGGGAACGATCACTCGTAGTATATAATTATGCGCAATGTAACATACGTATTGGACAAAGTGTCCCAACAAAACTAATAATCAACCGATGTTATTCAATGATAGTAAATAACTAATTTAATTATGCAGGATCTCCGAAGTAAAATGTTATTCAATGAGAAAACATTATTTCTTTCAAGACATCACGAGGTTCATTGTCGTGTTCACGACGGCCAGCCACTGAACCAATTTGCTCCATTCAAGCTTTAAGCCGCATTTCCCTGATATCCATTTAATATTATCGTCATATCTATGCACAGGAGTCAATATTTGTTCTTCATACAAACATGCTGTGTGTGCAAAGAATTTCTCTAGAGGAACCAAGAAAAAGAAAACACAAAAGGCCTATCAGCCACTTTCCAGGCTAAAAATTTAAGGCAAGACTTCCGAAACACTAAGCAGTGCCTAATAAATCACTCGAATACAATATTAAATTACCATACTTTCTAATATGGCGATCGTCATCCTAGTCCATCCACATTTTAAGCTCACTACATCTGCGTGTGGAAAATCAAGTATTGTGAGAAGTTTTCCAACACAGCGTCACACATATCCTTTAGACTGATTCGTTTGTTTACTTTAGAAACTATTTCTGTGGAAAAACCTGCTTCTAGTTACATCTCTTGATACGAAAAACGAGCTAGACAAAGGGAGACGATACTGGGTCAAGAGACCGAGTGTGAGGAATGTAACTTATCAGTCTTTTGAGATTGAACAAGACATCTTCCTGTACCAATTGTTTGTTTGTTTGTTTGTCTCGATACCATGCATCAACCTCAGAAGAACGTGTCATACTGGGACACTTGGGTGATTTTATGTTACAGGGATTTGTATCAGGAACTAGATTCGATTCGTCTGCCACATGCAAAGTTTCTCACAGTGGTCTGACACACGTCTTACATTTTGTCTGCTAATCCATTTTCCTGCTGTAACACAAAGCTGTTCTTTTGAAATACGCCTGAAAGGTTGCATTACAACCACATTCCATTTCGAAACCTTAACATTTCCTTTTTACATATTAAAACCTATATAAAATATTTGAGAATTTCCTTATTGAACAAGTACATAAAACTGGTCATTTAAGCGACTTTACCGATCATCCAGCCCAATGAATATCAAACTAATCGATTAATTTACTATCTAACAAACCAATTAAACATCTATATCGCGAAATAACTAAATACCTAACCAAGTAACCCATCAGATAGCTAACTAATTATCTCGATACTAACGTACAACAATATAAACTAAGCAAATAAATTACATACTAGCAAATCCACTACTTAATTAACTAACTAGCTAGCTGCATTACCGGCGGTTCTACCAGCCAAATAAACAAGGAACTAGTTAGCTTACTGACTAAGCTCTTGCTTGAAATTGGTTCCTTCCGGTTTGTACTATGATTAAGCTACACACATTTAAATTACAGCCCTGCAAATGGAGGCAGTGTTTTCTTCTTAAACGTTGGCATGTACCTACAAGTCCACAACGCGTCACAACCCACCGGAACAAAACCGACTTGTCTCAGAAAGTTCAAACTTCGACAACGCTGTGTCATATTTATAAAACAGAAATGTGGTCGAAAAAAATATCTGCTGCTTAGGAAGCGCTTTTGTAAACGTTGAATGCAGTTTTAATAATGCTGTTGTTATGTTAATGTATTAAAATATATATGGGTATTTCTCGGTGGGTGTGGAGATCGCGTATTCAGGATGAATCCGAAAGCTTTATGAAACATGGATAGCCTGTAGTAATAATTCCTTTAATAAACGTATAGTTAACTAATGGTTTGCGTCTTCGCATTTCAAAAATGCCCCCTTCAGTGTGCTTCTGAATTTGTTTGAAAGAATAGAACGTCACTGCGCGAGCATGTTCATGTGCCTACCCACATTCCTCACACATCTCGCGCGACATTGTTCGTTTTTGACGCATTTTCATCCCCGCGGAGCGCGTATGAGATCGATCCGTCCGTCCGTATGAAATAAACAACTCGAGAACGGCTGAACATATTTTCATGAAATTTTGTATTGGAGATTTTTACTAAGATCTGTCGATAAATTTAAATTGCAGTTAAAGTCGGATAATAATATTTTTCAGTCTTTACCGAGTCTGTCGTTATTTCGGTAAAACCCACATATCAAATGTAATAAAAATCCATTCAGTCATTCTCCAACTGTTTCATGTACTGGGACAGACGGCTGGACAGAAGCATTTTACATGAAGTTCTACATGCGCCGAAGTGACTGGGTGGGGAACCTCCAGGCTACCATGGTTACCATGGTTACCATGGTTACCATGGTTACCTTGGTTAAAAGTCAGAGTTCAAATTCTGGCCAACACGCCTTTCTGAGAAATAAATACATCTAACACTGTTATTGTAGTGCCTACAGGTTCGACGCCGTTAATTCCCAAGCCAGACACTGAAAAACATCCGAGTTAGTCTCACCTGCATTCCATCCTCCAACCGATTAATTTAATATCCCAAGAGGATTCCCCACCAACATTACCTGTATCCCTAGTCTGCATTATTATAAATACATTCTTAGTTTCTAAGGCGCTGACAGGCCCTACAAGCCTTGGCCGACCGGATAATTTCCAGCTTTTTAAAACCCTCTCTTAAAAAAATTTATTGTGTTAAACTGTTCTTTTGGGCTTTGTCCATCGTCCAGGTATTACTGGAACCAGAACGTTGGAAGTTCGTTCTACTTCCATCATCTGTTGGGCCTCCGGTCGAACTAGTCTCAAACCGCGGGTCTGTGAACAATTTAAATCAATGCAATGTCACCATTGTCATAAACCCTCAGAAAGCAGCTGCATGACCTCTACTTACACAGAACATCATACAACATAAAAATGCAGCGTACCTAACACTCCTGCTTCGTATTCCGGTGGTCCTGGGTTCAAATGTTGGCTTTGATACCGACTACGCTAACTAAGATTTTGCGTGATTATCCTCAGTCCTTCCAGGCAAATTTCGGAATAGTATCTTACATTAGGCCACGACCGGTTCCTTCTACATCCTTTCCAGTTCATTATCCTCTGTCGTCTTGTCATTCGACGCTATGTAGTCTCAGCTGCTGAAAGCATCGTTAAATAAACTAATACGTGCATCAATGCTTCGAGTAGGGTTCGAACCCATGGTCCTTGTGTTCGAACGTCAAGACCGAAGCTCAGACAGGCCCGTCACTGAATAATCATTATAATAAACTACATGTTTCGAGTAAGTTGAAATTTCTGTTACTAACATGGCTGTCTTCTGAGTTGTAGCTCTGTGTAGTCTGGTAGAAGCTCACCAACATTTCAGAGATCCTTGCTGCCTCCATCATCAGGCCGATAACTATTTTTATATGAAGATTTCTGTCTTCTGGGTTGTTGCGCTGTGTAGTCTGGTCGATGGTTACTAACGTTTCAGGTCATACTGCCTCCATCATCAGGGCGATGAGTATGACGATTTCTGTCTTCTGGGTTGTTGCGCTGTGTAGTCTGGTCGATGTTAACCAACGTTTCATTTCAGAGATCCTTGCTGCCTCCATCATCAGGCCGATAACTATTTTTATATGAAGATTTCTGTCTTCTGGCTTGTTGCGCTCTGTAGTCTGGTAAATGTTTACCAACGTTTCAGAGGTCATACTGCCTCCGTCATCAGGGCGATGATCACAGCGCAAAAACCCAGAAGACAGAAATCTTCATACTCACCGCTGTGAAAACCTCAAATCATACATATTTTTGTATGCATAGAGCATAGTAACCTATCTGTGATCACTATGTTTATAAGTGCTGCTTTTAAATTAAGGTGAAACTAATTTTAGTGTAAT